TAAGGAGCTTTGGGATTAAAGAATCAAACGAGCAAAGAGAAGGGACAACTACTATATAGGACTTAGGGGTTTGAATCCAAAAGCAAAAACAACAGACCCGGGATCTGCCCGAGGCGTGCTGGTGCCCTGAGGGTCCAAGTACACGATGGTCACAAAGTTTTATGGTTTGGGCGTGTAGGCGTTGGGGTTCGAGCACAACAGGACCAAATCATAGCAAGATTGCGAGGACACAGTTTCCTACACGTGCCCGCGCACTACATTGCGAGTACCTGGCTTGAATGGCGGTCAGGCACATAGATCCTTCACGTTTAGCCATCTTCCAAGAGGTACATGTACTTATTCCCATGCAATTACTTTAGGCCTAAATAAATGCCATTGAGCGTGCGTGCTGCTCAAAGGAAGGAGTTTTGATGCAACACTAAGGAGCATTTCTTCGGGTGATAGAACCTAAGGTTGACGAGTTTGCGGTTCCTGAGCGGCTTCCTCCATCAACATCCAAAGATACACATACATTTCTGCGGACACATACATTTCTACGGAAACTTTCCATGACACTCGCAAATACCAGAGCCATGTCAAAACGTTCAACAATGATGACAGCCTGCCTGGACCTTATGTTTTGCATGCTCTATTCACTTAAGATACTTTATAAGCAGCTAAACAATGAGGGCAGGTTGTTGAAACAGGGCAACTTCGCGCGAGAGGCACATTGAACATGAAATGCTCGCCAATATTTGACGTGCCCAGACTGTTCCAATGCTGACAGCTGCAGAACTGCAAAACAACAACAAAGCAGTCGAGCAGCTTTCCGTTCTCCATGATCCTTGGCAAACATATGTCAACATGTAACAGACCTGAGGTTTGAAATGAATAGTTTGCACATTGATCATAGTCATGCAGAATCCTTGATGCAGCAGCGAAAGGTGGGGTTTAGAGGGGTATAAGGGTTAGGGGTTCCGCATTCGAGGGTTCAGGGTCTCAGAACATAGAGCTCCACGCCTCAATGTCCCATTAAGAACTCCTGCTCTACACGCACGCATGTGAACTGCAAACAGCTCATTTGAATCTCGCTCCGCATTTGATCTCACAATGAAGATATAGCACAGGATGTCACAGAGTCCGGCCACGAGCGGGCGTTTTGAAAGCCCCCAACGCGAACATGAGTAATGAACTTGGGATTAGTTCGGAACGTTTTGCATTTCACGCTGTATCCGTTTAGGCTTATATATATATATTTATATGTGCATGAAACCCTTGAAACAAATCCTAATAGCTATCTCAAAGGAACAAAACAAAGGAGGAGAACAGGTAAACATGACATGGTGACGTCTCAATATGCCGCCATAACCCTGAACTCCAACGCGAAGGCCCACCAAACGGCAAATCTCTGCGCCGAGTTCCCGGACTATCCCAACACTGTTAGGGTGGAGGCGGGGATTGAGGGTGCGAGGGCTTCAGGACAGACATGAGTCACCCGATTGTGAGGCATGACCATGGAAAGTCTGACCTGATAGCTAAAAGAAATCTGTATAAAGACGGGCTGTTTTCAAAGCAACACAAAATTATGACCAATACTTTGCACTTTTCACAAATCGCCGTAAACCGTTCAACATCCTGAAGCGAAACCTGGTGCCTCTTGTTCTCAGTCATGCAACAACCTCAACGGCAGGATTGGCCACACGAGAGGGAATGGAATGGCTGCGTGAAAACCTAGCAGCGACTGATTGTCTTTCGTTTTCCTATTGGATCGCGCACAGCATCCCCCTATCCCCATCAACTCCCTTCTCAAGCAAAGCATCTCTTGGAGCGCGTCCACACCGGTTTTGACCACGGAACCTCAGACCAGAAAGGAGGTTGTCCAGATTTCTGCCAAGCTGGTCTGGCGAGGAAAACACGTGCTGCTCTTCAGCGAGGTGAAAACGAAGGTCACAATCCAAACAAACGCCAACATAAGCCAGACAGCTAGCAAGCTACCTTCCTCAAAGGCGAGAAAGCTACAGTAAGCATAAACTTAAAAAAATCTGGCTTCCATCATCCAATCTTTAAGCCTTTGCAATAGCTGTGTGGGAGAGCTCGGTCTTGCTAGCAGATCGCTGCTCGGGGGAAAACTGACATGTCGCAGCGAAGTTGCCTGTCATTGCTGCAAATATCTAATTCTCAAGGTCTCGGTGCTCGGCCATGTTACAACTGCTGCTGCAAAACTCAACTGGCAAACACAAGGACTCAACTATTGGATCCTTGGACTCCGTGAGGACACGGGTACAGGAAACATGATAAGGGGGTGCGGGCGTCTGACCATCAATCGCGGGCCTTCATTTAACAAATTCTGCGGACAAACATCCGGGTGTGTTTCGGCTAACTTCTGAGAGATGAGTGTTTGATATCTGAGTGTCGCACTACGCTTTCCACGTCGGCACAAGTCTTTCTCAACTGTGGAGCCCATGTCCAACATAAAGCTGAATGCTGTTTCAGAATCTCTGGGTAACACACTTGATTCGATACCTTCAGCATCTCCGTAACCATTCAATCAGTGCGGATCACCGATGACAATGCGTAATGCAGGTAGCTATGTAGGTAATGTAGGTCTGGTGGTCGTCACAAACCTTAGCGATGCGTGGCTGGGGCATGGCCAAAGATTGCAGTTCTTTTTTTACTGAGTCCCATGAACGTCCTGAAATCCCAACTGCCAAACCCTAATTTCAGCCCTTCAAAACCCCAAACTGCCATGCACCGCCAAGTCCCATGCACGTGGCCATAAGAACAACCGTTCAATACCCCCGCCTCAAGAACGAAAGATGACTGAATTTGAAGTGACTGCAGCGAGACGCGCCATTAAGGTTTAGGAGCATTTTTGAATATCATCCACTGTGGGGCGGCTATATCGTCAATACTCAGGGCAACTCTTGGGCCCTAGTAAAATACACCATAATATACCATAGTATACTAATTCACTATGATACAAAATAATATACCTACCCGTGCAGCCTTGGGCATCTAAGAATATTTCACAATCGCGATCACTACAAACTTCACCTGGCGAGGCCTTACATACTTGTTTGCGAATTTTTGTTTTACATCGCTGCGATGGCAAAGTATGTGATTCGATGTGATGAGCACGTTCCACACAGAGTAAAAGCATCAAATATCAAACTCATACATACGTTTGGTCCAAAGTACCTGCAAAAGGGGCCCATTTGAGACCAAATCTATGTAACCCTAAACCCTAAAACCCTAAACCGTACTAGTTAGGTACTTGCACCCTCAGGGGTTGGGAAGAACAACCCAAAATCTGAATATATCAAGACTGTCAAGATTTCGTACCCAACCACTCGCCAAAGAATGCATCTAAGCATACATTGGGTACTGCCCCTACCCTGTAATTAGCCATCTATATTAAGGTCATATTAAGGGCTGTATATACTTTTATCATAAATACTATCCAACTGTTTTAGTGTGGGGGCAGTACGCAAGGTGTAGCAATATGCTTTCAGCCCATCGACATTCCCCTCTCACTACCGTGGATCACGAGTATATATTATGAAGCTACATGGACACTTTGGGCTCTAGATGGCAACTTCATGCACAACGAAATGTTGAATGCCGAGCTGGGCATCTCTATGGAGATGTTTTCGTTACAATTTGATCTAGTCCGCACTCCTGTTCCGATGCCAAGCGGTCAGGTACCTTAGAATATGTATTCCGGCCCCGAAGGCACCCAAACCCCTGACCCTAGACCGGTATTTGCAATTGTGGGCCCTCCATTCCAAATGCTAAACCCTAAATCCTAAAGATCTGAAACAATAAACGGAGAGTTGAACATCTGGCGACCCCAAGAATGTTTAGAACAACAGCCTATCTTGCTCTTTTGATGGGTTTGGGGGCAATTTTGTTGGTTGTTGACTTACTTTCGGCGCAAATCGACCTATACAAAGGACAGTATGAACCCTCATACAAGTCCATACTATAGGGCTTTGGGGTTTCAAAAATCTTCCGTTGACTGCAACAAGGAACTCTTCCTCCATGGTAACTTAATTCAAATTCTGTAACGGCCACCCAGACCAAACCTAAAACAGTCACAATCGTTGCTTTGTTGCTCTGCGTGCTCTGTCTGATTTGTGCTCCCCGTGTTCTGTCAGATGTCGTCTGACAAGTGAGGGACAACACATGCGGCAGGAAGGACAGCAGCCCTGCAGACATTGTTTGGGGCTGAGCATGTCGCCCGGCATGCCGGCTCACTGACTGACGCGCTTGCCTTTAAAGATTTGGGTCTTTGGAAACATGGTATATGATGTTGGACCCTGTTTAGTATAGGGCCCCACCCCGCTGAACAATAGACTATTCTCCCGAATATTCAGGCACCGACAAATTTGGGCCCGCAGAATGTGTGTAAGTAGCATTGAGGCAAGCTTTTGAGTAAAACTAAATCAGATTAGGGAATAACTTTTGCTATTGTTATTTCGGGGTTATTCCGAGCAGCTCCTGAATGATTTTCCTGGAACATTTCATCCTTCCGACCCCCTCTACAAATCATGGTCCAACACTAACCGGCCAACCGCTTACTGCGCCCTCTGTCCTCCAAGACGCAGGTTTACAATAAACGTTTGGGTCTCTTCAACCCTTACATCGCGGGAAATGGTATGGTACATACACATACATGTTGAGTTGTTGATCTTACTATGGATCTGCACATAGAGAGCGCGGGACACAAAAAGAGAGCGGGCTTCAGAATTAAGCATTTCCCACTGGGTCCATGTAGGTATACAGACTACACCTCGGGCCCAAAGAGGTTTCCGTATCACCGCTTTGGGAACCAAATATACACTACCAGGAACCCTCAACACCAACCTCTAAAAACCCAAATGCATGGCCCCTTTCAGCCCTGAAACCCCAACCCTGAACCCTAAACCCCTAAACCTTGAACCCTTAACCCCTAAAACCCTAAACCCCTAAACCTTGAACCCTAAAGACCCCTAAAACCCTCAACCCCCTAAGCAAGAGGCCCCAGGAGTCGTCTGAAGCCGAGGCAAGCTCCTCTTCTCCTGCAGCTTTGTGGCTCATGGAGCTTAGCAACCCAAAACCTAAGCCCAAAACCCTAAACCCTAAACCCTATATAACCCATTATAGTAGTTTCCATTTTCTTTTCCATTATCCCTATATAACCCCAATATTACCCATGGATTTAGGGATTTTAGGCCCAGGGGTGGCAAGTTTGCGGATGTGGATTTGGGGTTCATTAACTACTTCTATCCGGGCTTATGCTCCCTACTTGTCATCCCCCCCTGGAGGGGGCTAGCCCAAGTATATCCCTGGGGCTCCATGCCTCTAAATAGTATCTACATTGGGCCCCAATGTCTATAAATAGTACTTACATTGAGCTATTTGGAGCCCACGTATATGTAAGGCTTTTCACTAGGTCCCATGCACCACCACGCAAAAAGAGCCACTGGCTTCAGCATCAAAAGCTCATGGCCCTGAAGCCGAAAAGGGTCATATAGGGTTTAGGGTTTATGGTATTCATTGGGGTCATATTGGGATAGTGGAAAAGAAAATGGAGACTACTATAATGGGGTTATACAGGGTTGAGGGTTTAGGGTATTTATTGGGGTTATATCGGGATAATGGAAAAGAAGATGGAAACTACTATTTAGGGTTAGGGTTTAGCGGTATGGGGTTTCCCAAATCAGGGATACCATTTTGGGGGTCCCTTAAATAAGAACTACAATATTCGGGGTCTATCTTGG